AAGCTGGAAGTCTCTATGTAAACACCTGCACACTTACTGGCACACACGTTCTCTGTCACCCATACAGACCTGTGCTTGTGAAAAAGCACATATGCATGCACTCATATGTCCTCCAGAATGCACAACATACACAAGTAAATGCAGCTGTAACCAGAGATGAAATCTCAAACAGGTTCAAACTTTTCAAATGGCAATGGCGTTTGGATCTAGGGATTTGGTTCAGACCCATCACCAGTTCTAATGAAATGGATACCTATTTTTGCTCTGTAGACATCCCTTCATTATTCAGTGTGTGATACAGACACACTGCTGTGTAGTTATGTGTACACACATATACTGTACAATATACACACATATATGTATTTTGATATATATGTGCATATGCTTATATAAATCCATATATATATAAATATATATATATCTATAAACACCTATACCAGTGGATGGGCTTTTGCATTCTATATTCTGACTTAGGGGTAAACAAGTATAATTTGGTTATTTTCTTCTGCCTAAGGCTATAGCTTCATCCCCAAAAGAGATAGAAATACAGATGTTCATCATACCATTCACTGACACAGACTATGTGTTAGCACCCAATGCACGAGCAGATGGTGTGATGGAGTAAAGGAGCACCTGAAAGTTAGTTTGTAGGCATCACCTGATGAAATTAGTAAATCAAATGGCAATACAAGGCAAGCTTTAAGTATGCAGAGTTCATTTTCCTTATTCTTCACAAATCATGTTCTCCAAAACAGTAATGCACTTCTCTAAGTACAAATTCTGTAACTCATAGCAAAGAACTGGAGGAAAACAGTGGTGAATGTGAAGGTCTAGAAACTGGTAAGCTCCTCACACAGCCTTTTAATGCCTCTGGCTGCACAGAACAGAAAGTACTGAATGTCTGGATAGAGGGTAATAAGGTTTTAAAGGCATACATAGGCTCTCATAGCTACAGGTTATCACAAGGGTTAATGCAGTAAAGATGGTTGGATACAGTCAGGAGTTAGGTGTTACCACCAAACAGAGGCTTCTGATGACTTGTGATAAATATATCTTTGCAGTTATGTAATGTAAACAGATACTATGCATGTATTATAAAAGCAAGGGACAACTAATTTGTAGATATTTAAAAAAAAATAAAAATCTCACAATAAAATATCTAGCTGCCAGGAGTTTACTAGGACTCTTCTTAGAAGAAGCAGGCTGAAAACTGAATTCAGGTTGTCATTAGGCCTTTGCATGGGCTGAGGTTAATGGAAGGAGTGAATAAGTTCCTAAGAGCATCTTTAGTTTCAGCTGAGTGGTGAGAGTGAAGTGATGATTTGAGCTTTCACCCATTTCCTACAGCAAGGCAGTTCAGTTCAACTCAGAGAGAGGAAGCCAAAATCACAGCTGGAGAAACACAAGCAAATTTTCAGGGCGTTCTTAATAATAACAAACCTGTTGTTCTATTCTGAAATGAAAAGAAAAGAAGCATCATGGCAATGCTGTAGTTTGTGAGGATTCACCTCAACAAATTGCACAGGGGAAGGAGGAGGCAGGAGGAGAGCTGCACACTCCTCCAGATGGAGAGCTATGAAGAAACCTGCACCTTGCCAGAGCAAGTATTTCCTGACTGTGCCATGTTTGTTGCTATGCCAGGAAACTCTTTTAGATTACACTCTTGGGTGGAACAACAGAAAGGTGAAAATCTGAGATTAGTTTGGATAAGCCCCCAGATTTCAAAACATATTTTGAGTTGTTCCAGCTTCTCACTTATATCTGCAAAACTCAATAGGAACCATCATGAGAATAGAGTCTAATGACCTTGCTGGTCTGTGATTTCTAGCAGATGCTACAAAACCCCACTCTTTTTTTTCATATGAAAATATTAGGAGAAATTTTGTCCACATTCAGTTTTGGAAACTACTAGTGGTTTGGAAATCATCATTTTATCCTAAACCTATGATGTATGAAACTCTATCTGGGATTTTAAAACACAGTAACTTGGGTGTCAGCCTAACACACGCTGAGGTATTTAGAGCTAAGATGGAAAACCAAAACCTTTCAACAACAAATTTCAGGGCATTTCCTGAAAGTGTAGCTATGTTGGCTGTAGATAGTCCCATAGTCTTCTCATCAAGTGAACCAACTGAACTGGAAATTTGACTTTGAGATTTATTTTTTCATGCTTAAACTTGGAGACCTATTAGTAATATCTATGAGGAATATAAGTGAAGTGTTAGTTTAGTGTTTGAGTTACAGATTACATAGCTCTATTTGCCTCAGAATAGGTTGTCCCATAATCTTTATATTATATAATCTCAGTACTAACAAAACCTGGTGCAAATATTTCTTCTACAAGCTACTGGAACAACTTGTTTGTAATGCCTCTACTGATTCATGCTGAATTATTAAGCCCTAAAGAAATGGACTGGGGTGGTTCTTCCTTTCCTGAAAATTAAATGATGCTCCCATTGGAAAAGATGCTTTTACAACAAACTGAACACAAAGCTTATAATTATGTAGGAGAACTTAGTTCTCCTTTAGATTTTGGCCATTTACCCCTCCCCTCCATATCCTTATATTAAGGTATAATAATAATAAGAAATGTGTTCATGACTTGTTTTGAAGTATGTGCACAAGACACAGCTAACCTGTAGAATTCCTTGAGCTAGATATCTTAAATGCCTCTTTACTAACTACAGTGCAAGAGCACTTTTAGCACTCACAGAAATGATTGGAATGTCAATTCCTGTTACCTGATTTGTATCAAGTTGTTCAAATTGTGTATCTCAGTAGATGAGATTTTAAAAAAAACCCAAAAAATAAAAGAGGAAATCTGTGGAGGCAAACAGATCTGGCTTCCTCTCAGTCATAGAGGTTGAGCAACTCATCACATAAACTCAACAATACTTGTCATCTTGCAAAAAAAGCTTATGATGTTCTTTCATTTTCCATGAAATGAAGCAGTAGAATTGTGCCTTGCATGACTTCCAATTCAAATGAGGAAATTGTGATTTTTATAGAGGTGAAAACTGAAGCAAATGAGCACGAAAAAATACTGAAAATATCTGCACTTTGTCTTTAAGTATTTATCTATGTAACTAATAGAATGTGTAGTATTAGGAATAATGTAAATATTACAGAAGTACCTATGAAACTGCCTGGAAGTCTATATTAGCCTCTCACAGTTACCATACAGTACAATAAATCCTTGCAACATTGGATCAATGCAAAGCAGCAAGTAAAATACAGGTTCATTTGGAATCTGGAGGCATTCACTTAATATCAAGCTACAGGTTTGGCATAGAGAGTTTCTTTTCACCATGTTACATTTATACCCTACAATAAAACCAGGAGCTCCCTGCCCCACAAAATTCCAGAATCAAAAGGACCTGAATTTATAACACACACCACCAGACCCAGACAAACCAAGGAAATTGTTTTTGCTGTCAATGTGATCTTCAGTACATCACAATGCTCCTGGTCTTTTGCTATATTTTCTAACATATAAAACAAACAAACCAAAAAATCTACCTCCTCATGCTCAAGTGTCAAATATTTTGAAATTATTGAAAACTAGCCAATATTCCCTTTGTGTTACTAAACAGTTATTCAGAAATGAGAGCACCTTGCTTTATGCTGGTATGTGCATGTCTGAGAAACTTGTAGAAGTGCTGAGCTAAAATGACATTTTAACACTTAAAAATGCATATTTTATTTTCCAGTCAGCAGATACCTTATGATTTTCCACTTCCTTTTGTCAGCGACCACAATTTTGATGCAACAGGATACAGAAAGTGTCTTAGCCAATTTGCCTTTCTAACATACAGCTGTACAGTAGGTAAGTACCTTAATAACAGTTTTGGTGGGTATTGGTTCAGTAATGCTATTTCCATCGTTCATTAAAAGAAAACTAAAAAAAAAAAAAGGAAAAAGAAATAAAGGAAATTGTTCAAGTCAATGTAGTTTGATTTGAATATTCTGTTGGTCCCATACTGAACAGGCAGTGCAGAGAGCTTAAAAACTTGGAGAGAGTGACGACAGAATGGCTCTGGTATTCCATGCCACCCTGCAATAAAATGTTACCCAGTGTAAATATGTTTCTTCATGACTTAGGTTACTTACTTAAGGCATCTTGTTTAAAATTTTTCCTCAAAATTTTATCTAGCACAAAACAAACCAACAAACAAGTCAAACAATCACAGAGGTTTTTGCAATAGGAAGTTGGTTTTGGAGTATCTTCAGCATGAAGTGAAAAGACAGCTTGCTGCCAAAAGCAGAGGGCAGCTTGAAGAAAGACAAGACTCCTGTTTGGACACTCCCAACATAGGTATATAATCAGGAAAGCAAATAATGGAAGAGTCTGGTACTACATTCCAGTACTGGTTTGGTTTCTGTATTGTTTATTTGTTTTTTCATTTTTTCCCCAGTGTGTGAAAGAACCTAACGAAAAGCTTCTGAGTGCAATTCTATTTACACAGTAAGGCCGTGGTTAGGGTGTGTCTTCATTATTGTGTAACATAAATATCCATCCCTGAGAAAGGAGAAGGGGGACACAAATCCAACACAGTTGATTCGTAGGTGTATGTATGCTCATGTTGTGCAATCCGGTCTTACAAACTACTTTGACACCTGAGGTGAATTAAGTGGGGGTTTAATAATTTTTTTCTTTCTTTCTTTTCTTTTTTAAAGATTTTTTCATTTTCTTATAAAGAATAATGAAGAGGATCCATAAATGGTTGCAAAATATATGAAATATTGAGACAGCAGGAGTCACTAAGTCTAACATGTAAGTTTATCTGTCCATGAGGTTAGAATAGCCACTTGGCGTGGTTGGGTAAAGAAAATTTGACTAGAAATTGCAGTGGGAGGCAGCTATTTACTGATTCTTAAAAAAAGAGGGAGGGGAACCGAGGAGGGGAAGCGAGAGAGGTTTTTTTTAAAATGTGTGCAACACAAACAAAACTCCACGTTAGGCATTAGAGGCAAAGTGCTGACATCCAGTGCAGGTAGGTCTATGGGGAGCTGGCAGGGCTGATGGTGGGGCTGGAGGCGTCGGAGCGGCTGTAGTCACTGACAGAGCCTGTTCTGGAGCTGCTGCCACTTCGCCTCTTGAGCATGCTGGGGTGGAAGTTGGCGTGGCGCCGTGCGTGCTTTGTCAGGTGGTCGCTGCGCATGAAGCGTTTCTCACAGAGAGGACAGCTGAATTTCTTTTCTCCAGTGTGGGTGCGGTAATGCCGAGCCAGCTCGTCCGAGCGAGCAAACTTTTTGTTGCAGTCTTGCCAGTTGCACTCAAAGGGCCGTTCACCTGCAGGAAGTAAACGTGACATGATTAGAAGGGGTAGTAATGTCTTGCATGAGTTTTGGGTTGGTTTTTGTACACAGAAGTTAGAATTAAAAAGATTGCAAGCAAGGGAGATGCCACTTGGCAGTAACTGGATGGAGAAGGTGTTACCCTCTGCCACAGAGGAGACCACTGTGGTATTGCTACCTATTAAAAAGCACTGGCACTCAAACTACTGATACACGTTATTTGATAACTGGATCTTTGGTGGTGCCTGGGCTCCTGATCCTTTCATGGATATCACATTCCATATCTCTTGTGGTCTGTTGGACTCGACTTGATGGCAATTTTGAGGCATTGGCTGTGTGGAGCTCATCTTGTATTCTCTACAGCTATGCTTGTGTTTTCTGCCTTTGCTATGAAGTTTCTCTTGTTCACTGCCTTAGGTCTCATTTAGAAGTGAGGCACAGAGCACTGTGTTCCAGCTAGGTAAATGTGTCACCTCAAAGGGAGCAGCCTTCTGTCAATAACTAACCTAAATACTGTGACCTGTGGCACTTAAGCTAGGACCAATGATGAGTGGGCTCAAAGAAAGAGTGATCTGGTGACCTGATGCAGGTTCAAACAGATCTCAGGCAAGGGGAACATCTCTCCCAGCACAAATGCCTGTGCTATTGTTGTTGGGTGTGAGTATCTGGAATATATTCCCAGTTTCCTCACTGATGTGCTGCGTAGCCTTGGGCCACCTCAATTTATCTGTTTCCATCCTTAGTTTCTCTGTTTGATAAAAATGAAAACACTAAATCATGTAACGTGTTGTCTGCTACTTCTGTCTATTGGTTTGGTTCTTACTGTCAGGAAGATCACATGTTATTAATTGAGAACATCTTATTCTTTTGTGAATACACAGAGTTAGCATTTTTCATAGTTGGCATTTTAATAACTTTCTACTTGCAATAGTCTTAATCTTTCCAGTGCTGAATAGCCATTTCAAGAGGCCTAGAGAGCTATATAAATTCTGTGCCAAAATAATAAATAAAAGTTCTCCCCACAATACACTAAATAGAAAATAAATAATTAGCCCTCTGAAGAAATTTGATGCACCTTAATTAAAGCTGAGAGCAAAATTGATCCTAGCAAGTCCTCAATCTAAGCAACCAATAACCTGTTTTAAATTCACAGATTTGTCCATAATATTCATCTCCAGGATCTCCTCAAGGGGCTCCTGCTCAGAAAAATAGTTTTGAAGGCTCCTTTTCTCACTGTTCATGAAGCCTCCAAGATACTTCAGCCAAATCTCAAACAATATCTCAATGAACAGACAGCCAAGTCTTTTTTTAAATAGGATTTTGTTCAAGAATCTGGATAGTGCAGGTGTCCCTGATGTTTCCTTGATTATTTAGGAGAAAGAGCAAGGCTCATTAGACCAATTGTTCTTGAGCACATTTGGTGGATTTCATTACACCTACAACTAGAAGGCACAATACAATAGTTGTATCTGTGCAGTACACAAGGAGATTTTCACATGGAGAACCATGACCACCACCTCCTAGTGATGTGCAAAAGGCAGCAAAGATTAACAGACTGCTTTCAGTTGGCTTGCCCTGAACTGAAGTCTAAACAACTTAGGGTTCCACAAACACTTTTAAGAATCAAACCACAACCAACTGGCTTTAATGAATATAGTCTTGTTGCTTAAAATAACCCATGCAAATCCATTCAATTTCCTCCTTAGGCTTCTCCTGCCTGCAAACTGTCAGGCACTGAACTCTCCATCTGCTGATAGAAATGTTAAACAAATGGGAAACAAATGTATTTGGGTTGTGTTTGTCATATATCCAGTCATCTGTTGTTAGATATGCTCCTGTCTGTGGTAGGACATGCCAGTCATGCCTGTTATGTGATGAGATTCACCAGTCTTCTCCCTATGTTTTGGTCATACAACAGATAAACTTCTCTAAGGACTTTGGAATCCCTGGGAAGATGGGCAATGAGACATGGTCTGAGAGCTGGATCTGGCCTGCAGAATCAGTTTCTTATCCCTGAGCTGTGGCATCATTTTTTTGGTAAGCCAATGACCTTTGGATGTTTCTATTGCCTGAGTTAATTTTCTTTGGGTTTGTTTTCATTACAAATAGTGTCAGGAAATGTTATTCACTTGAAGAACCATCCTAGGAAATGACAACTTTCAGAAAAGGAAGGCAAAAGTTTCCATGCAAAGTTTTGCTTCTGCTGTTCACAACACCATGAAGCACAAACAAAATGGTACCTTCTCTTACAGTTAGCATGACATCAGCTGCTCTTGCCTATGATTCTATGATTTGGTAACTAGCAGTAGCCACAACATTTCAGTTCCTGATGAGAGAGGAGGTTCTGAAGGAGGATTGTGTAAGATCTGTGTTATCTAGCACTAACAGTCAGGTGATGAAGGTATTGCACAACTTCTCTCCCTCTCTCCTCACTGCACATCAGATCTGGATGTGAACATTCAGATTCCTACTCACCTGCCTGATTTGATGTTAATGATGGTGGTGAGGATTTGGGTGCTGAACCAAAAAATGTGGTATTTCTTCCACTATATTTCTACTGTGCCCTGCCCTCCTCCTTTCCTAGGGACTATTTTTTACCCTCAGTCCTCACTAGTCTTGATTTGATATCTTCTTGGTAGTTGTCTTAAGTTTCTTGGCCAAGTGGTTTTCCACTGACAGCTGGCATCACTCTAGTAGTGGTAATAGTTCTCTAGAGTGCTTCCCAGCTTTGTTGAGGTTTAGCAATTCCCCTTCAAAGAAAAACTGTATTGTGAGGAAATGCTCGATGCCTTGTGTGAAGATATGAGAGTCATTATTGTTCATAAAAAATTAGTACACAGTCTGGAACAAACTTGCTGCAGGCTATTAATTAAGACCTAGCTGCTGCTTCAAAACCACACAGAGAAATTCAGAGTCTGTCATCATTCTCATCTCTCAAACAGGAGGGATGTGGTTTTCTGCGCAGGTAAGGTACATAAATGTCCTTTTACCAGCAGTAAAGCAATCACCAGAATGAGAGATTATATTAATTGATTGCCTAATCTCATTAGGGAATATGTAGCCACAGTACAATGTTCTTGTATAAGCAGTAACTCATGCACATGTCCTCAACAAAGAGATTTCACCATTAAAGTGTCTGTGCATAACACAGTAAGAATTCTTTCAGCTCCATTTTAGGCAATGCTGAAGTCAGAATTTTACCTTTATACATTGAGTCCAGAACGTGATCTTATAGGTTAATGTAGAAATGTTATCTAAGGTCTTAGATATGGCTTGAAACACATTAAGTGTGTGAATGTGTATATTGAGAATCTTAAGGCTGTGCCTTGGCAGCAGCAGTATCTTTGTGCATTATGAGCCTTATTAGGAGGTCTCAGAGTGCTAAGTCCCCAAAAGATAAAGATGCTTGAAAATAAATGAGTCAAAAAGCAACTTTTACTCTTTGGAGAGGCAGGCAAGAGATGCCTTTAGAAGATAAGTAATATTGTAAATTATTTTTTCACAATTTTGAATACGTTTTGATTTCCATGTTACAAATCCCACTAAGGGGTAACCTTTCCACAGATCCTCTGCCAGAGCATAGGACATAACACATAATTTGTGTTTAGAGTTACACAAGCTGGTAGAAAACCATCACATTCAGGAATTAAATTCAGCTGATCTTAACTGAAAATTACACAAGCTAGAACATTTTTGGCTGTTTCCTGAACTCCACCCAGCCCCTCCCCCCCCCAAAAAAAAAAAAAAAGTGTGTAAAGCTGCATTAAGAAACTAGGAAACTTGCAATGCTCACTGAGCACGCTGCAGGTGCACTGAGTTCTGAGTCATTTCATGGGCACAGACCTAGCTACTCATGCTGCTCATATTGTCTGACAGAGCAGACTGCCAAAGGAACCTCTATCCTCTCTTGCTGGAAGGGATTCAGAAGCAACTAGAGCCAGTATGTTCTTACAATATTACATAAAGGTCCTTTGTATTATTCTATACTTGTCAATCATTATATATATTGAGGCAACTATATGTAGTTATGGGAAACAGTATCTACAGAGACGGTGGAACCAGATCTGATGTCTACTGAGCTTGATTTGTACCATACATATAAGTTTTAAGGACTCTTTTCCCATGTAGTGACACTCCTGTATAGATCCTGGAGTAATCTGCTTCCTGCTTCACCAATTCATCTCTGTGCTTTGAGACAACTGTGATACTAACCATTCTCTGAACTAAAATCAAAGATTAGACAATCTGAACAATCTGAAGTGTGATATCCACTGCCCTAAAGATTAGAATCAAACCATGGATTATTGTCACATCAAACCATGTATTGAGGACTATTTATTCAATTTAACTCATGTCATAGCTCAGCACATTAAGTTAGCATTTTCAATCATATGCCAAGGCCATGCAGTAACAAAGAAATTTGTTTCCTGGGAATTCCATGAGTGCCTGCAAAACCAGGAACAGCAAGCCAGAAACAATTTTCTGTGATCTTCAATCTGTTCTGCTGCTTCAGAGAACAGCACTGCATGTTGTTATAAAACCAGACTAGAAACATGAACATGCCACTGTGTGTTATTCTTACATTTCTACATTTTCATATTTATAATTAAGAGTATATATTTGGTAACACAGATCAGCAGGCTGGGTGGGGAGGATGAGGGCAGACAGTTAAATAGAGATGCAACTGGAGCAGCCTTCCTCCAGGAGAGGAAATGCTATCCTGGGAAAAAACATCCAGCCAAGCAGACTCTGCTTCGTGAGACTGGCTGTTATTTAAAAAAAAAGCACAAAAAAAAAGAGAGAAAAGGTCATCCTTCAATAGCACTGATATGTATTTATTAATATTTTAATTTGTTATTTTCTTGTTTATAAAAAAGCCCTTTTGTATGGCCAAAAAAACATCCCCTTAACCTTCTCAGTGCAATGTTAGACAAACTGTGGTTTCTTTACCAAGTATTCAAAAAGGGCTAAAAAAATTCCAAAGCCTCACAGTTC